TTTGCTTTGCTTGTGTGCGCATCTTTTGCTTTCCCTATTAAACTGTCTTTATCACAACCCACGAGTTTTCTCACTTTCACCCTTCTGATTCTCTCTCCCAACCCACCGGGGGTGGAGTGAGGGAGAGGCTGTGTGGTGCTTAGTTGCTGGCTGCGGTTAAACCACGACAATGTCTTATATCACTGTCTAGACTGCTGATAAAAATGTTAAGTGCTATTGACCCAAGAATGATTCCAGGCAGACCCTGCTAGACACATCCCAGTCATTTATATCCGTCCATTAACACCACATTTTTCAATTTGTCAGTGAGCCAGCTTTTAATCCATTTAACATTTGCCATATATTTCAGTTTTCCAAATCAAAGTGTTTTCTGTTGCAAAGGCAAATGTCTTGGAAAAATTCAGTGACAGTCTGGGAGAAGTACAGTATCACTTTCAAACATCTTGAAACACAGGCTCTTTTCTCATACCATATAAGCAGAAAAGTAGCTATTACAATGTTAATTTCAATACAGTTACAATGGTCTAAAAGTTTCAGTTCTCATTTGCTGTTGCTTTTTGTATTGGTATTTTTCAATCAAAAATAAAAGCTGCTAGAAAGGCGAAATCTTTCTTTACTGGATGTAGTGTAGACAGGTGAGGGTCATGAAAAGCAGAATGTATGAGATATACAATGAACCCTTTGTCAAATAAAAATAGGCAATAGAGGAAGAAGTTAATTTAGTGGCAATGTATTGAATGCTGCTTTGCTAACACATGTCTGAGATGAACGCATGAGCTCACTCGTTTCTAGGAAGACAGACTACCAGTAATCAGTGTGCTTCAGGATGTGCAGTCCCTTCATACATCCTAACAGAGGGTATACTCCTATGTTGTTACATGAGCCAGGAAAGAAAGATGTTCCTTAAGAGTATCTGTAGAGACTCTTTGTTAGTTTTTCTTGCTTGGTGCATAGCTTCTAAGAAAGTTTGTCTGCTGTTCGTGTCTGCCTGTTCAACCACTGGATAATACCCATGAAAGGCTCAGAATGGCAGGGGAAACAAAAGTACATGTAGATTACCCAGGAAATATTTACAGCAGTAAATAAACTCTCTTTGAGAAAATTCAGAGGAATATCCTAGCAATGGATGACTCCATGAAGTTCTGGCACTAATAATGACCTGGCAGAGCCTGCTGGCTTCTCTCACAGAGAGTGCTGCACTGCTCTACCAACGACCGCGTCTGCCACAGAGGAATTGAAAATCGCATGGTGCTCGATGAAAGCCATTGATGTGATCTGACGCTACAAAACTCCAGTATAAGCAGAACAATGATCTTGCTCTGAATGGTCTCAGATTTGGAAGTAAATAAAGGAGGGGAGAGAAAAGGCGCAATTCAGATCACACATGGGTATATTTAGTCCTGCTAGCATGAAGACGTAGTCTGATTGGAAGGATTTGTCAGGGACTGGGAATATGGAAACTGCTATCTCTGCTTGGATTATCCTCCTCTTCTCACCTTGTCCAACACTTGAACAATTTACTTAAGTGGGATTTCAGGAATCCAAAGCAATTCGACCAGCTAGAGTTACGGATACAATAATAAAGCAACCACGTAGCTGAATAAAAGTCTCAGATGAAACACAGGTCTCATCTCAGCAAAACAGTGGTAAGAAAGAACTAGAAAAGCAGTGAAGCATTCTGCTTCAGTAGGGCTGTTGAGAGGAACCAAGACAGTGGCTGCCAAACTCCACCTCATGTGCTCCACGTGGACTGAAGGAAGAGATGGGGTCGAGCTCTCCTGAGAGGGGTCTCTAGATAACCATAGGGGAAAACTTCAGGGGCTCATACGATGGGTTTAAGTGCATTAGTTCTTAGGGTACACTTGTGGACTCAGAACAATAATTATTTGAGGCCATTTGCACATGCCAAAAATATCATTGCGATAGTTCAAACTTAACCACATTTTCAAAGTTCTCTTTGCAAGTTGTCCTAAAACTTGGGGCCTAATTCACCATATTGTGGCTTTTAGTTTAGAGTGGATTTAGTCAGATGAGATTGTTAAATTCATGCCTGGCTATGCCTGGCAAAGATGCAGTAAGACTTTTAAAGACTAAATTTCAGGGGACAGCTCAACAGTTAGGAGTTTTACACAAAATACACAAGTAAATACGCATATCACAAAGTACATGTCTATGAAATTGATAAATTAAAATAAAAAATTATCACGAAGCATACTGGTGGTAATATGATAAAAGGCATCATAAATTAAAAACATAATTTGGAATGATAGAACATAAACATTGATTATGCTACCAACCAGCTACCTTGCTTCTGTCTTTAAATAATATTTCCTAATATTTGTATATAATGAAAAAATAATATTAATGTCATGTTTTGTACCAAGATTTATTTAGAAATATTTGGTTGTATTATTTTAGAAAAGGACAACTAAAATGTAATTTCCAAAACATCTTATTTCAAACTGGAGGAAACTGTTGCAAAATAACGTAGAACAAAATTCTACTGTTTTCTCATGGAGGACATGGAACAGACTATTTTTTTTGCCTCTGCATAGCCAGTTTAGTCAAATTCCTGAAAATTTTGAGAATCTCTGAGACTTTTACTCCTACTTTAAGTTTTATTTTAATTAACCAAACAGCATGATATTCTGATACTTCCTTAGGAAACTAGACTAAAATCTTATCTACATTTGAACTACTTTTTTTTATAAAAAACGGAACTCAGAGAGTTCTATTCCCATTTATATTATATGTTTATATTATGAAGCGATTTCTCCTAACAAACTCTTACTTCTTTGATGCATATAGTATGTCTACGTTGAATGCCCTTCTTTTGTTCTCATCTGTCTTCTCTTTCTCATCTGCTGCTGTGAGAAACTATCTATCTTCACAAGGCAGCTAAATCAACATTAACAGTCCATTTAAATATTTTCAGCCCAACAGTTATCTTTTATGATTTGCTCTTAATATATTGTATTAGTTCTCAAATATTCTTTTGGAATCACAGAATAGTTCATTGATTAAAAAATTACAAATTTTTGCTCTTTGTTCCATCGCGCTAAACTTCAGTTTGTCTAGCCAAAAATATTTATTTAATTTTTCAGATATGAAGACACCAATAGAAAAGAATGTCTCTGATTCATAAATTGAATGGTGTAGTATGTCACCTGGGACAAGACAGGGCTGTAAGATATAAGAACCTGAGTCTCTCAGCCACCTCCCAAGCTTTGAGTTTGTCACAGCAATATGTAGTTAAAGGAAAGGATAGCTATCACATACAATCAAAACAAAGGCCAAAATGAATGTAACAGTGTTATAAAACTCGAGAGAAAAACAGTTCCCATTTATAGGGGACCTTGTTTACACATCAAAACATAAGTTTCCTGAAGGACTAATATATCCTCTCCCTCTCCAAGAACCAAAAGATAGATAACATTTATCTTGCAGTGGTTGAAAAACACATTCAGGAAACTCACTAACTTAACTTGAAAAAACAAATGGTTCATTTATTTTCATTACAGAAATGTAATGGAAGTCTTATCCATTTCGAAAAGCATTTTTAAACTAAAACAAACAAAAGACAAGTAAGTCCCTGATCATGTTTCTATTTATTTCCACAGTTTAAAAATGCCAGGTTCTTCAACCAACCGAACATACCATTAGATATACCTTCCTTTATTGTCATTTTTCTATTACAATACTATTTCAAAAGCATGACCTGAAAGAACACCCAAACCCCACTAAATCCATCATTAAGCAAAACATCTTCTACACTAAATTTTGCAGCTATACTTAAAAAACAAACCCCAAAAATATTTCTAAGATCCCCATTGTATTTTAATCATGCAAAGACACATCTATGTCCTAGTTTATAGGCAGTATTTTAGCTTCAATTGACATCAATGGGAGTAGTTCTACTGATTCCAGTGGAACCAGGACTTCAGGGACTGTTTCTGAGCGCAGATGCAATCCTGTAGCGCTGTAAAGTAAGGGCAGGTATGTTGTGTTCATAACAGGTTTTTAAAAATATTTTCATAGAGATAGAGGGTGGAGAATCATTTTACACTACTCAAAAGGAACAGGTTTCTTCTGAAGTGAACGGATTTCTTTTTTGGCTGCAAATCCTGACTGAGCACAACCTTTTATTTCAATTTTATGTATTTTAAACAAAAGAATTGGAAAAACTTCCATTGATGTAAAGGGGAACTTAAAAGGAATTAAAGGCTGGTTTTGGAACCATTTTCCCTGGAGGACTTCAGGGCCTGATGGGCAGGTCATCAGACTGGGACAGTTTGGTACTCAAATCCTTCCTATATTCAACATCATTCATTTTATTTAGATAAGAAAAGCTCCTACTTTCATCATCTCTTCATAAAACCATCAAATTTTGGAGTGAAGAAAGCCACCATTTTCCTCTTACTTTTTCTCTACCAGCCATTTGTGTAACTCTGTGCTACAGTTTATGTCAAGCTAGTCAAACTTTTGTGAAGGAAATTTGTACAAAAAATTTAAATCACTTAATTGGGAGTAGCTTAACTGAGTATCTGAAAGGCACAGGGTTAGTAGGAGCACATCAGCAAGTAGAATGCCCTGGTTGCATCGAGGAAGTGCAGTTTTTATTCTTAAGTACTGCTTCTCAGATGCTCACATTCACATTGGCACCTGAGAACCATTTAGAGTGATAAACATTTATTTCATATGCATGACAATCCCTAATAGTGTAATAGTTCATCTTAAAGCATGATATTTGGAATTAACTCATATTCAGAATGAAAATAGAAATGTCTAAGGAAGAAAAAGCTTCTTTATTCTGACAGAGATTTAAAAAAAATACAGAAAGAGGCATAGTAGTTAATTTGTTTTTTTCCAAACCTAATCCATTTTATGGAACTGCGTTACAATTAACCACCATACTCAAATGCACCTAGCAAATTAAATTGTTATGTGATACAGAACAGGACAAACTTGCCAGGATTTGCAAATTTTTTTTTTTAAATATCTGAATACATCAAGAACTTAAGCGTATTTTTGCACACTGCTCATAGAGAAATGAAAAGTAGTAAAACCACAGTAAATCCACAGCAGCAAGTCTGCCTGCTGATAGCTCAATTTGTACCAATCCTCCAAGCATTCCTGGTGTGATCCCAGTGCTACTACAGAGGAGCTCACTTCTGTACCCCATATACCGAGCAGCCTGCTAACACAGCGCCCTTACTCGAATCTCCACACCCATTTAACGCTTGCACAGTCAAACTATGAACTCCCTGGAGGAGAAACCGTTTTGGACTGCTTCTTTGCAGGCTGTTGTATAACGGCATCCTGGTCCATCATTAAAGCTTTCAGGTAGCAGGACAACAACAGTAATGCTATACCTATAATGCTTTGGAGGCTTCCTGTTACGCTAGGCAGCAGATTTCCAATCCGACGGTTTTAAACCCCTTAGCGAGCTGCAAGTCAAGACCAGGGGACTGCAGCCATGCCGTCCTTCCCAGACTCCTAAGGCAGGAATGGGTCCCAAGCTATAGTGACTATGGGAACTCGAACTCTAAAATGGCAAACCCCGCCCCATTCTCAGTGCTTGTATATTCCTGATATCGGAGAACATCTCAAAACCAGTCAAAGAACTGACTAGTGGAATTTATGGTCAGTTTTCAAACTAAGAATGAAGTACACTGAAAATGTATGTGTTTCAGTGAAATGGATCTGAATTTTGGTTACAGATGTCTCTTCTGGCAGTTGCCTGCTTGTTCAATAACTATTCCGAATTCAGTGTCCTGAATAGGCTGAAACTGGAGACAGCATGTTTGTTTTTACTGGACACTCACCTCACTTTCAGGGATGTGTTTCAAGTCCACAAGGGGAATTAATATTCAGTCTTGTCACCCAGTTCCTTTTTGAATGTGAATTTACTTTGAATTCTAGACTTCTCTTACTAAGTTAACCCCAGATTTTCTTTTGGTGAATAATACCTTCTACATTTTGCCCACAATGACATAAGCCTCCTGTAAATTACCCTCTTCCTTTCACTCTTGGGGTACTGAAGATATTGAATGCATTGTTAACAGTTAGGAAACAAGCAATGCCTCTAAAAATGCATAGCCTAAACAGAAAATTCTTCCTCTCATTTGTCCTTCCCTTTTACTCTACACATGGCCTATAAAACATCCCACAAAAGGGACAAGCTGTGCAATGTGCTCTGAAGGATCCCATATTCAGCTACATGCAAGAACACAGCAAACGGGTTTCCCCCAACTTAGGGGGTTTTTTAGGTAACAAATTTTACTTTCATGATTTTTACCGCATTCATGCAATTATGTGCTTTTCAGAATTAGTGGTCTACACAAATGCAAAGTGTCACACTTAAGCATTTTTGTCAGTCTTGTAATTGTTAGGGACTTGACACTAATTAGGAGTCAAAGATACTTAACTGCCAGTCCTAGAAATTGATAAATAATAGTCCAGGTCCTCAAAACCATTATATCGGCTTAAAAGAACCCTGGACAGCGGAAGGGAGTCCATCTAGTAAAGGAAGCTGATTAAGTTGTTTATGCACCATGTTATGAAGAGTGTGTCCCATTCTTCTACCAAAAATTATTGTTTTGCAGGTAAGTTACTGTTCAGGAGATTGGTGTCCAGGACTTATTTGCTCCAGTTCATAGTCAGAACTCTCACTGCAAATCCCCCCCTTATCTATGGTTTTGTATGCCATATTGCAATCTGGCACAGCACAAACATGCTTCCTGTTCTAGCAGCTCTACTGCAGGGTAGGAACCTCCAGAAGGGGGGAATGAGAAGCTGGGGACATCACCACTTGAACCTGCTAAAATATGGTAAGCCCAGAGGTGTCTGTCAAAGGACTAAGGGTTCAGTTATTTTTGCCCTGAGTGTTGTCATTTAGACTGCTGCAAAGCCTGCACAAATGATGCATAAGATATTACTGAGCTGATAAAAACAGAACACACAGGACCATAAATAATCAAGGCCATAAGGCTGAACGCATTGTCCACCTATAAATGACTGCATGGATTTACCAAAATAGACTCAAAAATTATTTCAGTTAAGCAGGTGCTACATTGCCACATAGTGAAGGCCTGAACTGCAGTAGGAAAGACATGATCTCCAAATCTGAGCAACAACATGACAAGTAGATGGTGAAATATAAACATCATTAAAGGTAAATGATGTGTTACTTGTACATGAATCAAAATTCATCTTTTCAGCACTTAAATCAGCATTCAAAATTAGTGTGTAAACATCAGCATTGAAATCTATATTTATACATTTAATTATAAAGAAAGGAAATTCAACTTTACCTTTAAAATTAAGAATATACTAGTTGCCATTTGAAAAGACCAGGGAAAGAAATGTAGCTTCCCATGAGCTGCGATTTTGCTTACCTGATTACTCAGTACTTCAGAAGTGGGGAAAAGGGGGTTGTTCAAAGTTCCGTTTTTGGCGGTATGATCAGCTGATTGGAAACAGGTGAGTTGCTGCAGCTTAGTGAGTTACCACTCAGCTGGGCCATGCTAATGATCTGTGCATGTGGCTTTATTCATTACAAATGCGAATGCAAGTGCAAAAGAAGGCGGATTAAGTCAGACAGATAAGGGGTGATTTACCTTGCTGTAATAACTCAATTGTTTGCAATTAGCTTCACATACTCTTACTGAGAAGCTTAAAATTTTTCATGTAGGCCCTATAATTCCTGACAAAAATCTTTTAAATTGCTGAAATAGTTATTATTAACTTAAAATGTATTTTTTTAAATTACTGGAAATCACAGCTATCCAAGTATTTATTAACTGAGAGTAAGAATGTTAGAAGATAATCCCATAGTTAAAAAGGCATGAAAAGGCTGTCAACTCATCAGTTTTAGAGACTGCTGCTTTGTAATGACTGTAAATCTGTTATCACACACAAATTACCTTCATTTCTATTCTTCAGCGAACGTTTTCCTTCATGTAGGCTTCTAGAAAGACAATGAGAACTCTATTCTTGTTGTAAAAGGAGACCCGCAACAACAAATTTTTAAACACCAAAAATGGAAGCAAATCTGGGACTTCAGTTTTCACAAGCAACACTAGAGTTACTTGGCTACTTTGTGACCTGGAAAGAATTTGATACTTAGATTCCTGATTCTTAGATTCACCCATTGCTAGCTGTAATGATTGTCAACGTGCCTTCTCCTGAAGGTAGCAATGGGAGAAATCTGCAAACAAGTTTCAGTTGGGTTTGTCTGCCACCATGTATCACTAACTCCACAGGCTGCGAAAACAATGTGTAATTGCAAAACAAGAGGAGGTGCAGGAAGTAACAGCTGTACAACCCCCTGTAATCATGGGGTTGAGGATAAGGAACCAGGGTGGTACTCCCACAGAGAGAAATGGCTCATTTCTTTCACAAGGCAGTTTCAAATTAAGCACAGTGGTAAAGTAGTTCTGGAAATGTACATACTGAGGACGCACTTACTTCCATAATATTTTGACCTGGAAAATCAACTGTGTGAAAAGCCAGCCAACAAGTAATGCAGGAAAATAAAGCAGTTATTACTATTTTATATCCAGCCATAGAGCACACTTTCAGATTCTTATTCGTTTATCCATAGTCATTTATTATACCGTCAGTGCAGCCTTATATTAAAATTAATCCTTTTATCAGCCTATAGATCATCATTAATCTTATTTTCTACAATTACACAATCTTTTAAGTTCAGCTGAACTTTCACATTTTAAGCTCAAAATCTGAGGGCAAAAATGCAACCACTAATCAGCGGCACATGAAAACAGATCTGAGAGAATGAAATTATTAACTGCTTGTGAAGTCATTTAGACAACAAGCACTCAATTGCAGCTTGTCTTGGTTTTTTTTCCCCCCTTTAAATTATAAAGAGCTATAAACTGTGTTTTGTACAGAAATGGAAGCAAAATTTGAGAAAGCTAATGTTGGAAAGAGCTGAAGTCTGGTTTTGCTCTGAAAATCTGATTATTTTAATATTCTTGCTGTATTTTTCATTCCAAAGAATGACTTAAATAATATACAAATCACTGGGGAAAAAAATCCTATAATGTCACCACTCCTGAGATAACACTGTAAATGTTAGAGCAGCTGCTAAATGACAAATGAGTAAGTGATGGAAGTGGTACAAACTGAATAGATGAGGACCCATGAACTTTAATTCAGAGTCCAAACCCGAGAGCTGCAGAGAAAAGCAGAACTGCTTGTTGAAATGCATTAAGCTGTGCAAGTATTAAAATCCATTGAAAATAGATTTAGCCAGACAAAGGAGACACATTCAAAGATTTTGATCATCTGCACCTTCTGATGAGGTAGCAGAAAGGGTCTGCTCTGCACTTCTGAAAATGAAGCCACTGAGTAGGGGATCTGAGTATGGATTTGGAAGCCTAATGAAGATGGCAAAATACCAGAGACCTCTCGAGCACCAGATGGATTGCCGTTGTCTCCAAAAATTCCAAATATTAGGAAGCTCCAATTATCTACTAGGAGGGAAGTCAAGAATGGTAAGTTAATGTGGATATGAACATCCACATCTTCCTAGCTCAAAGGCCACACTAGTCTTCTGTAAATGAGTAAAGAGGAAGACCAAACACAACCCCCATCCCCCAAATTCCTTTCAAGCAAAATTTTTCTCTTTCTAGATGTCGAGAGAGTGGACAACACCTGTGGAAAATGGGTATAGCAGGTAGGTTAAAAAAATAATTATGCTATAAACCTCTTTTTCAGGCCTTGACCCAGGCACACTGAAGCAAACAGTAGTAAAACTGAACTGAAAATGCACTTAAGCACAATTTAATACTTTATCACACCACAGACATCTGCCTTTCCCCAGGCCAGAAGTTACAGCAGAGCTGACGGACGTGAACATGCGCCCACACCTCAGTCACTCCTGCTACAGTCGAATGTATAAACAAAAAAACATCTTCAGTTATAGCTTGTAACCAATTGGAGGAGGAAGCACAGCAACCGAGATGCCGACACGTTTGCTTCTGCCAACTCCACTGTGGGGAAATATGACCTCTAGCAAAGGGGGACACCTGAGCTGGTTAAATCGCCATAGCAAGTGTCAGTGTAACTCATCGTCAGAGCCCCTGGCTGTGTAGGCAAAAAACCCACAAAAAATAAAAAGATAATCCAAAAGATAGCACAAAATTTTACAGGTTGCCTGGTTGAAAAGCAGAAACAGAAACAGATATATGAAAAATACGCCTCTAATTGTGATAATAAATGTAAATTCAGATTACCTACAAACTTTCACAGGTTTGTGCTTAACATGTTCAGTAAGTGAAACTGCACAGGCAAA